TTAACAAGGGCCCAATAGGTCTTAACCCTACAGCTGGGTGGTTTAGCTCCTGCTGCTCCAAAGATCACGGGTCCTGTCTCCATGATCAGCATGAGGCCGCCCGGGGCCACTGGACGTAGGGCAGGGTGGCCACCATCCCTCTCTCAGCATTTCTTCCCCTGTCACACTCACTAACTGCCCTCCTGGGGAAATAAGCAGAAGTGCCCCGGGTACAGGGAGGGGGCCTGGGGGTGGTGAGTGATCATTCCGACTGTTACTTCTCAACTTCCTGCTTCTGACACACACCAGAGCTGGCCTCTGGGTTGGAGCCGGTGAGGAAGTGGGTGATCCTGTTTCTACACAGGCCTTAGAGCTGTTACCAAATTGGTAACATCGCATACATGCTCAAATCTGCCCTGTTGTATGAACTGGAGTGTGTTTGTGATGAGAGAGGAGGAGAAGTCATGGAAGCCAGCAAGGAGCAGCTGTGCAATGGGGGTGGGTCCAGGCGGGAGGGGGAAATCCCATGGGTGCAGGTGCCCTCCTTCCTCTGGTCCAGCACCTTCCTCAGTCTCTGGTTAATGCCCAGGTGATGGGTTATGCATCTCGGCCCTGAAGAGAGCTAATCACAGTCACCCACACGGTGCAGGGGACATAACTGCACAGGCAGATGCAGCGGAGTCTATTTATTCCCTTGTCCCTTCAGCCCTTTTTGATGTCAAGGGAACTTGTTTACTTCTGTTCAGATGGAAACAGTTGACACTTTCCATATGAAGAAGGGAACACGTGCAGAGCATGGTTGACTTCAGGCTGGGCACGCTTCTTAAACACTTCACCTGCGTTGCTGGTGTAATCCCATGAGGCAGCTACAGTCTTTAGCACAAATTCACAGGTGAGTGCACTGTTACTCACGAGGTCGGGAATGAGCACACATTGGCACGGCTAGTGAGGGGCAAGGCCAGGCTCTGACCCAGGCCTTCCAGCTCTGCACACTTAACCACCATGCGTCTTGGCCTCCTCCTAAGGGATGGTCTGCCTTGGAGGTGGTGGGCTCCCCATCCCTGTGGCTGGCAGACATCAGTCACTGAGCTGGACAGATGTCTCTTCCAGGTGTTTAGCGTATCCACTCAGAGCTGAGCACTCTGCCAACACCTCTCATGTCATGCTTATGCCATCCCTGCTGCCAAGGGCAGTGGTTGGTAAACTCATTAGTCAACAGAGCCAAATATCAACTGTACAACGATTGAAATTTCTTTTGAGAGCCAAATTTTTTAAACTTAAACTATATAGATAGGTACATTGTTATCAACGTAATTAGGGTACTCCTAAGGCTTAAGAAGAGCCACACTCAAGGGGCCAAAGAGCCGCATGTGGCTCGCAAGCCACAGTTTGCCGACCACCGGCCTTGAGCAATCACCCCACTTTATAGATGAACAAATTGAGATTGAAGAGATTGCATAATGGCTGAGGCCTCCATGCTGGGAGGGCTGGAGCTGGGAATCCAGCAGGACTGCTCAACCCCGATCCTGAGCTCTTCACTTCTTACCAGGGGTGATTTCCAAGGGATTAACTTCAGGAGGGCTGGGTTGGACTAGTTAGCTGTGATGGTCCTGGCTGGTCTAAGATCTCTAGGGACTAAACATCTGACACATAAAGGGGCAAACTCTTAAACAGAGCTGCTATAACTAGTGGCTAGGCCAAAAATATTAATCATCACATTTCAGGTTTTATATTTAAGGAAATATTTCTCTTCCAAGGCTCCCCCACCCTTGAAAAGCTGTGCAAGGAGCAAAGAGTAAGTGGACTTTAAAGTACCTCTCTCTCTCTCTCTCTCTCTCTGGCAGATCTGTGCAGTTATTGCTTGTGTAATCCCACGAGGCAGCTATAATCTTTAGCACAAATTCACAGGTGAGTGCACTG